TTTTCATTTTACACCAGACCTGCAAATTCAGTAGCCAGTCCTGACTTCAGGTTAAGAACCCTGTTCTAGAACTTACTGAATAAGAGCCATGTCAGACAGCAATCCTACATTTCAGGTGAATTCTTCAACACACACCGGGAAGTTAGCTGCTGCATACTTATGTCATTAACCCCCTCTATTCCCAGTTTCCTCCTTGAGAAAATGAAGACAACAGACAGGATCTTCTACTCTGTTCATTGTAAAGGTTGTTGTGTAGCCACACTAGATAAAAAGAAATAATAATTGTAAAAATGTCCCCTTACCTTGAACAGTTCTATGCTAAAAAGACGCTATGGTTACAGGCTTAACTTTTCTACTCCATTTTTCAGAAGTAGCTTGAGGAAGGTTGGTTAAGTACATTAAAAGTGTTGCAGAACCTTTATAACCCTTATATTTTGCTGGGAAAAAAATAAAACAGAAAGTAGTTAAGGTATTCAATATTTTAAATATTTCTTAAAAATCATTATTTGGACAAGGTTGGAAATGGCAGCCAAATACAGAATAATTTCTTGGATTCCAAAGACACTACCTGAATAATAGTGATATTTGGGTCTAAGTCACCCAAAAATTGAACAAGTCAATGATTAACAGTTTTTAAGGAGGTATTCCTCTTTCCTTCATTTAAATTTTTAAAATCCATAGTTTCAAGATCTTGAGAAAGTCATTCTTTTAAATATTCTAGGAGATACTTAGCAATATAAAGTCATTTAGTCCCTTAGCGAGTTGTCTTCACCTCCTGTAACACGGGGGGAGGAGCTGAGAAACGTTGGGTAAGTCCTCTGTCCCCACACTCCTCCGTTATCTGCTCTTCTCTCTGACCCCAGAACTTATCTTTATCCCAGCTTTCATTCTTGGCGTGATGGAACTCACTCAGAAGGTTTGAGGAAGAAAATAGAGTGAAAGGAAATGAGTCAGACTCCCATATCTGAGTCTTATAATGGGGGGTGTTAAAGGGGGGAGATGGAGACTCCTTTCCTGCAAGTCCTCTGTGAATAGGCATGCTGTGTACCCTGGGATCTGAAGTACCAGGCCCTGTACTTGATAGATTTATGTCATAATTGGCAAGACAAAATAGATAAACATAAAGTGTTAATTAACAATAGCAGATGAGTTGTTACAAGGCAAAATAAGATTAGGCAGCAAATGAATGGCATAAAATATAAGTACAATGAGTTCCCAAGAAGAGAATCAAATAGGCTGAAATGGTTACTGAAACTTAAGGGGAGATACATGAGGTGTCCCTTAAAGTTCTGCTCCTAATAGAGACGAATGAAGGAGTTTTCTGGGTGATAAGTGTGTAAAACATGAAAATCTGGATGGAGCTAAAATTTCATGGAAGGAAAAGGCAGGAGATAAAACTGTAAGAACTTTCCACTGGCTAGCTTCATTCATGTAATAAATAATTTTTAAGCCCATTCTATGACCAGACACAGTGCCAACTCTACTGAATTTAGTGTTGAATAAAGCAGATGTGTTTCCTTTTGGAACTTACATTTAAAAAATACACATACGATAACAAATTGTTGGAAGTAGTATGAAGGAGAACAGGGTGCTATGAAAAACAAAGCAGGCCCTGACTCAGATTTGGTGCTCTTGGCAGGTCTCTTTGATGAAGAAAGATTTAAATTGATATTTGAAAGAATAGGGGTTAGCTTGACAAAAAAAATGGAGGGAAAAGCACCCTGGGCAGAGGAAACAGCAAATGGGAAGGCTAAGGAGAGGCAGAGGATGGACGTGCTCACGGGACAGAGGAAGGCACGTGTTTGCTGAGGGAGCTGCTGGGAGGCTGGACATGCGTGTGGAGAGGGAGGCAGGAGCCCGATCGTGCAGAACCTCACAGATCTTGATAAAGATTCTGAATTTTATTTTTGTGGGAAGCCTTTGAAGACTTTGAACCCCGGGTCCGTCTAATGCTGTTTTAAGGAGACCTTTATGACTACAATAAGGAGAAAGGACTGGAGGGATAAAG